TTCCAGAGCCAGCTTTGCCCTCCATCCTGTTGGGACAAGTGCCAAGCCTGGGGGCCTCCCTATCCAGGGCCGTAGTTAGGTAAGCGGAGCAGAGTTCCGGAGCCAGTGGTCTGGGTGTGAGGTCTGGCTCCTTCACTCGCAGGTGAGCTGAGCTCACCTACAAGAGGGGGGTGGGTAGGAGTCCCTGCTCTGTGCCCCTCTGGAGGCTGTAGCAGAGACTCTCTGGACTGTGAGGTACATAAGGGCAGCCCAAGAGCCATTCGGGTGGAGTGAGTGGGTCCTGCCATGGCTATCCCCTACCTCATGACTCAGGCAGACTGCTGGAAGGGGACGGCTCCTCTCTGTGCGCATGTCTGTGCCATCTCCTATTCCAGGTCCACAAGAGGGACTAGGACATCTTCCTAGACTCACCTTGGACTTTGGCAGGACAGAGACAAGGGGACCTAATGAGACACAGCCTCGGGATGGGACCATGTGTGCCCCAGGTTCCACCCGGTGGGGCTGAGGGGCTGGCCAAATAGGCTGCACTCCCAGCCATGTGGAGCCAGACATCACCCCCTGTGGGCTGGAGAGTGTGACTGTGTACCACTTCTGACTGGGAAGGGACAAGGAGACACAGCCAGAGCAGGGCACTCCAGGGACAGTGGGCCACTGGGCTGACAGAAGGCAGGGTCCAGTTCCTAGAAGTCCACGGCTCCCGCCTCCATGCATGCACACCGCCTCCCTGTCTGCACAGCAGAGCTCACAGGACAAAGACACCCTCATTTATGTGGCCTGGGGCCACAAACGTTCCTCACCTGCCAGTTTATACCTAGGCCGGTCCACTCTGTGAGGCCCCAACCACCCAGGCCACAGGACTGTAGCAGCTCTTGCTTCCAGAACATATCTGGGCCACCCTGACTGGGGAGAAAGGTCAGTCACAAAGCCCACACACCTCACTTTGAGGAAAAAGGTGTGCTGCTGAGACCCAGGTCATGAGGAACCAGGCTGCTGTATCTCAGCACTGAGGATGCAGGTAGTCAATAAGTTCTGTTTTTTTTTTTAAGTGAATGAGCAGTTGCCAGCAGGACTTAGAAGGTGGGGGCACAGCTGGGGTGTCCCCAGGAAGGAACCTAGCTGGGCCTGGCACTCACTGTGGCTGGGGCATGGCTGGGCCCAGTCAGAAGAGAGAAACCACACCGTGATTTAAACAGGGGAAATTTAATATGAAAATTGTTAAACTCTGTTAAAGAATGACTAAAAGATGTAAAAAAAATCTTGATATGGTCTACTTGGGCTGAGGGAGAACCCTGGGGAAGAAGGGAGTCCCCTCTCCAGGACTGGCATTGAGGCCTCATTGAAACAGGTGTGGGTGCAGCCATGGAGTGACAGAGCAGCTCCCTGGTCCATAGTCACTGAGGCACAGACAGGGTGCAGGAGGCTGGCTGACGGCTGGCTGTGGGCAAGCAGAGGGAGTCAGGGCACATTGTGGGCACGAGTTTTGGAGCTCACAGGGCCACAGACGGTGAGAACCAGCTGAGCTAGGGTCATGCATTCTGGGCCCTGTGTTCTGGACCTGTGGCTGGAAAAGTGTCCAGCAGATGCCATCACCCCCACCCTTGTGACCAATCTTGCAGCAGCTGGAAACCACAGGGGAGCCCTTCCTCCTGCAGTGCGCCTCCCCCCTCTACTGGAAAGCTGACCTTCGCACTCACTAAAGGAGAGCTGCTGAAGGAATGCTGTTCACTAGTGTTCCCACATACTCAAGGGTGAACAGGGAGCTGAGTGCAGCGAGTGCAAAACCGGCAGGCGAGGCCTACAGCACTGCTCCATCCTGGAACGCAGTCGGCACGGAGAAGCACCGTGCACATAAGAGCTCACAGCGGGAGAAGTGGAGGCTGAACCCATGGGAAATCCTAACTCTGGGGGTGTGAGTGGATGTGAAGTAATGCTCAGGTGGGGAAAGAATGTTTGCACCCTGCCCAATCTCAGTAGTCTTGACATGATGACCAGAGATGGTGGGGTCCCTCTACAAAGTCACTCAAGGGTGCAGAGAACAAAGCCAAGCTTGTAACAACCTCAAGCCACCAAGTGCAGTGGATTGAATAGTGGCCCCCAAAGTGATATGTTCATGTTCTAATCCCTGGAACCTGTGAACATTACCTTATATGGCAAAATGTGTAATTAAGTTAAGGCTCTTGAGAGGAGAAGCTTACCCTGGATGATCTGGAGGGGCCTACATGCAGTCACAGACATTCTTATGAGAGGTGCAGAGAGCTTTGACACAGACATGCAGAGGACACAAGGAAGAGGGGGAGGCAATGTGACCACAGAGGCAGGGGTTGGAGTAATGAGGCCACAAGCCAAGGAATGCTGGAAGAAGCAAAGACTCTCTCCTACAGCCTTGGAGGAGGTGCAGCCCTGCTGTCCCCTAATTTCATCCATCTGGCCTCCAGACCTATGAGAAGGTAAGTTTCTGTTTTTTTAAGACACCAGTTAGTAATTTATTTCAGTTACAGGAAATACACCAATGGAAGGCTGAACGATACCTGGCCTCCATGGGATCAGCTCCTCAATGCAGTGTCTGTCTGGTCCTTGCTATGTCCCAGGGCCTAGGTCTGCTCCCTAAGCGTTTGTTGGATGACTAAAAGATTCTACCCCAAGGTTTAAAAATCCTGCATTTTGGGGTGCAGATAAAAGTGAGGTACAAGGGTTGGTCTAGGCCGGTGCCTGTGGTAGTGTCAATGAGAAAAGGAAGAAGAAAAATGGACCACATTCTGAAGATAATGAGGGTGAAAATTTGATGGCCCTTCTGGTTTGGGCCACATCCTATGCTGAGTCATTTCCTTCAAATGAGCTGCTGTGCTGGGTACTTTGGGGCAGATGTGTGCAAATGTCGCTCCAAGAATGATGCTCAGAGGCACCTGTTTGGTCCCAGTGCAGCCGGTGCCCTCGCTGGAACAAGGGGAAAGAGGCCACCTGAGCAGCTCAACTGGAGGCAGGGGTGGGGGCCAAGGCTGCTGCTGGGCTTCACAGGAGCGGGAGGGAGCAGGGCTGCTGGGCACCATGCCTGCCTGCTTTGCATGACAGTTCTGTAGGGGCAAGTTGGGTCCTCCCAACCGCTGGCCCATTCCTACTGTTGTGCCCAGTACCGGCACACCTGACCATGCAGGGACCATCCAAGGTCCCCGTGTCTCTCTGCTATGATGCCCTCCTCCTCTCAGATGGGACAGTGCTGCTCCAAGGGCCTACCTGATGGGGCCCTACTCCCGGTGCTGACCTCGTGGTGGGTGTGCTCCTTCCTGCCCAGGTCCCTTACAGCCCAAGATAGCTGGGTTCTCATCTAACCTCTTCTGCCTGCAGCAGGCGGAAGGGCCTTGGACAAGTCTCTTTCCTGTTTTGGGCCCCAGTTTTCCCCCTATGCAACATTTCAGCTTAGGAAAAAAAATCCCTAAGATGCTCCCTAACAGTTAAGTCCCCATGAGGGAAGGGTTTGGAGTGGCCAATAGAACCAGGATGCCATAGCAGAGGCTGTGGAGAGGAAGGGGATCCTGCAGCACTGGCCCAGGTCTCATCTGTCTGGGGCACCGGCTGCTCCATCTCGTCCTTACCCAACTGCCTAGGAGGCAAGGGGTATCTGGACCACCCATGGGAGGATTCTGGCTTCCTGGGATGGACTTCATCAGGGTTGGAAGAACCTCCAGAAACATGCCCTTGGTGACTCCTTTTATAGCTGGGAAGACTGAGGGCATGTGAGCAGTGGGCCTTGCCCAGGGCCACTCAGCACATGGAACCACTGGGACTACATCAGGGTTCCCTGGGACTCATGCCAATTCTTACCCACGGGATAGGCACCCATGGTGACCCTGCCATGTCACAGCGAGGGCCTGAGGCTGGGGTCTGTGGTCAGGTGGCACGGGTAGGAGAGTGGTTTTGGAACAGGGCGGGCACTCTGTGGTCATCCAGCTGCCAGGACCATGGTCCCCCACAGAGGTGCCCAGAGACTTAGGGCCCATCAGTCTTCATAGGACTGACTTGATCTGGTTGGCTTGCTCCAGGGAAGCCTGGACAGAGTCTTCCAAGGCAGCTGGGGGCGGGGTGGCAGCCTCCATGAAAGGGACAGAGTTAGTAGGGGGAATCGGGGGTACTGGGATGCTGGAACAGTGACCTGAGCTGGAGGGGTCCACTACAGAGACCTCTGTCTAGGATGAGATTCCAAGGGTGATCCATCCCTTGAGGTGGCCCTGGTCCCTCTTGTCCTGCCTGCCCACTCCTCAAAGCCCTCATTAGCTCAGGGAGGCTGCCTGGAGGTGGAGGCCATTAACAGAGAAAGAAGGAAGTAGGGCCTGGGCAGACCTGTCCTGGGCCTTCCTGACAGAATAACTTGGGCAGGGGGCACAGGCCTCAGATGAGCTCAGGGCCCTGAGACAGTCCTAGCCGTGACCTGGAGCTCAGGTCCCTGTGGAGACCATTTCTCACTTGAGGCTTTACAGAAGCACAGTTAGAGGGGCCTGATCCTGTGCCAGTTTTCAGTGGTGGGAGAGAATTTTCCCTTTTATGTCAGATTGGAAGAGGAAGTTAAAATAGGCACATATAGGTCACCACTTTCTTGTAATTTCCTATTATAGTTTTCCTTGGTATCCATGGGGGATTGGTTCCAGGACCCCCTACAGAAACCAAAATCCACAGATGCTCAAGTGCCTGATATAAAATGGCATAGTGTTTGCATATAACCTACGCACATCCTTCCGTATACTTTAAATCATCTCTAGATTACTTATAATACCCAATGCAATGTAAATGCTATGTAAATAGTTGCTATACTGTATTCCTTAGGGAATAATGACAAGCAAAAAAGTGTGTACGTGTTCAGTACAAACCCAATTCTTTTTTCTCAATTTGGCTTTTCGATCCGCAGTTGGTTGAATGCATAGATATGGAACCCATGGATATGAAGGGCCAGCTGTATGCTGTAATAATTGTAAAATTACTAATAACTGGAAAACAAGAAAAAGCAGTTACCTGGTTGATGAAGGTATTTTTTATTTTGAACAATTAGATGAGACAAAACCTAATTCAAAACATATTACTGAGGATTCTATATCAGTTGATTTTAGAAATGGTATAATCCAAACCTAATTTTCCAATAAATTTTCTTATATAACCTTTAAGGAATTTTTCATTCCCATTATATGGCTGTGGAAAATCTTTACGGGCAACACTTGTTACATTAGAAAACAAAATTTAAGTACAGACAGTCCTCAACCTAAGATGGTTCGATTTAAGATTTTTCAAATTTACGATGGTGCAAAATTGTTACAATTTTGACATAAAGTACAGTATTCAATAAATTACATGAGACATTCACCACTTTATTATAAAATAGGCTTTCTGTTAGAAGATTTTGCCTAACTGCAGGCTGATCTAAGTGTTGTGAGCATGTTTGAGGGAGGCCAGGCTAAGCTATGGCGTTCAGTAGATTAGGCATATCAAACACATTTTTAACTTACAATATCTTCAACTTACAATGGGTTTACTTGGACATAACCCCACCGTAACTTGAGGAGCATCTGTATAATTGCTATACACAGGTTAAAAGGGATGATATACACAAACTATAATAATTACAAATAAATATTTCTTTTGAATTCATTTAAATTTAAACTGCTTAAATAATCTGTGTTTTAGAAAAATTTAAAACATATTTCAAGAACTGACTTTAACATCTCCTTTACTTTCTAATGCACTGCAGAAAAAATTTCTTTCTGATCTCTTTAGCAACAAGAGCCACAAAAGTGGTGTCCCAAACCGAAATTCACCTTGTCTTCTTGAGAAATGAGCTGAAGGGGTTTTGGATTTAGTTAAAAATATTACCCTAAGGAATCTTAGGGTAATCTGCAGAGAGAAGCACCGAGTTCGGAGACAGGTCTCTCAACTTTGCTGGGACACCATAAACCACCTGGGGTTAAACTGTGTCACTACGAACATGAGGTGACTCACAGGGGTTTTAACCAGGCCAGAGCTAACAAAAGAGTTTCAAACACTGAACAGGAGGATCAAGGCTGAGAGCGGGGACAGAAATCCTGAATGGTCTAAACCACTTTACACTTGACTCTACTTCCTAGGGCTCTTTGGGAAATAGGCAAGGATTTTCCTGGACAGTGATTGTGAAAATAAATGAGTCACCTCATTAAATGATTCAAAAACATTTCCTGTCTGTTGGTTTCATGCTATCAACAGTTACAATTTTTTCATGGATAGGAGAAATTATGGGTTTAAAACTAAATTCTCTGTCACTGAAGATGTTTTAATAAACTGGTATCAGACTGCTGATGACAAAGTCATTACCATGTATTCAACAGCTTTTTTTCCTTCTACTCTCCCTCAGGCAAAATTTGGTTATCTATCTTTTGCTACCTATTTGTCTCCCGTTTTAGACATCAACTGGGCTTTTTTTACTGGCTGCAAAGTATGTGTGTGTATATATATTCATGAGATGTAAAAGCTGCATGTTGAATTGTGTTACATGTAGAGATGAGTCCCATTACTTCAGAGCTACACCGAATATGAGACCTGTTTATACTCACACACACACATACTTGTTCAGCCCCCAACCAACATTCACTCACGTAAAAATATATGACTCCTGTAGAATCCTTCATTTACATATTACTAAAAATATGTTCTTTCACTCTAACATCCTTTTGCCTCATCTTGCCAATCAATATCACAATTTTATCTGGGTCGTAAAGCCCTTTTAAAACAAGTTTCCCAGCAGAAATTATTTTTTTACAAATATTTCCTTTAAAGCAGCACTTAGAAACTTTGTTCTTGTGATATGTAAATAATACTGTTATTTCAAATTGTGATATTAAATAAGCTTAGTTTAACAGTTCCTTATCTCTTTAAAAAATGAAAGATTTCTGTGTTATTTAATGGCTTCTCCATTTTTCCAATTCCAAGGAATACAAAGGTCTCCATCTTGCATAACAGAGTAAAAATGTGAAACGCAGAGGTGCATCCCATGTAGATAAGGCAGTGATTGTTCTAGAAGCCTCTTACAACAATCCACCATTTGTTTACTAGAAATGCTGGGCTCCTTATATAACTTCTCCAGAGAAAATTTCTTTGTTGAAGCCTGTATCAATTCATTTTCAATAACCTTTAACCTATTACATTAAAAATAAAAATAATATTGCCATAAGCTATAACTAAATAAAAGAACATAAAATATAAATATATTCTTACATATAGGGGCTGTAATTTTCTACTCACAACATTGAAAATGGCATCCATAAAGGCCAAATTATATTTTCAGGAGACATACCACAAGTTACCATGTAGTACCTATTGAGTTGCTTCCACATGTATCTCTAAAACTGTTTGTTCAGAGCCATCGATATAGAAGGAAACCCAGGAAAGGATGGTGTCCTAGAAGCCATGAGAAGAAAGTTTTTCAAGTTGGAGAGAGCTCCTGATACCTCAGAAGCCCCTGATAATTCAAGCCTCTAGGAGAGAAGACCCAAAGCAAACCAAATTTGGACCTATATCAGCAAGAGCTGGAAGCTGGTGACAACTTCACAAAATCAAAAAGTCGGAGTTGTATAGGCATATCTAGCTCACAGAATAACTGGACTGGCCTGAACCAAAATGTAAATCCACCTTTGGAGAATGCCATCAATAGCATGAGTTTTGAAGAGACTATGAGTTCAGTACTACAATTTTTAGCCCAAGATACACAATATATGGACCACCTGCAATATCTTCAGGACACAAAGACACATGAAAAAGGCTTCATAAATAACTCAGATGCTACTCAGCATTCAGATCTTTCTATACAGAAACAACCAGCTATGCCTTGGGATAAAAATCTAGAGCAATTAAATAGAAATCATAGTGAAAATGAAGGAAAAGGAAAACAGAAATGGAGAGGAGGAGAAAAAGGAGAGGGAGGAAGTGGAAAAGAAACTGGACGAGGAATAGAAAAAAGAAGAGAAAAGGGAAGATGAGGAACTATATCCCAAGAAAAGATTAGTCAGCAAATCTTTCATGGATACTTTCTGGGCAAAGTTTAAATTAAACAAATACCTCATAACACAAGATAATCTATCCACTCTCATTTGAATTTAGCATGACATATAAACAGATAAATCAATGAATTTGTAAAAAGAGGAAGAAATATAACAAAGAAATGTCCAAGTGGAAGCATAACAGAAGACACAAGAGAGTACTGAAACCAGCTGCCACTCCCAGAAGAACAGAACACTGAGCACCAATTACCAGTCCCTGGGGAAGACCCCCACTGTGTGAAGATAGTGAAGATGCTCACTATGGCAACCACCAGGAATAGAAGTCCAAACACTGCTTGCCCATTGCACCTTGGTAGCAGAGTCACGCAAAATACAACAAAGTCAAGCAATGGATGGAGCAACGTTTTACTTAAAAAGAAACAGCAAGGGGCCGGCCCGGTGGCGCACTGGATAGTGCGCCACTTGGGAAGTGCGGCGGCGCTCCCGCCCGAGGGTTCGGATCCCACATACAGACCGGTTCCCGCTCACTGGCTGAGCGAGGCGCGGGAGCGACGCCGAGGGTTGCGATCCCGTTGCCGGTCCCCGATCCGGTACGGGGGCAACACTGAGGGTTGCGATCTGTTGCCGGACACGGAAAAAAGACAAAAAAAAAAAAAAAAAAGAAACAGCAAGATGAGCTTCAACCATCTGTGTCAGTCTCTGCAGCCAGCAGGTTGCTCCCGGCAGCCAGTGCAGGGCAATTGGCTATGCACACCCCTCTTATGCCACAATAGAAGGACCCTGTCCCCTCCCCACGAAGGACAGATATAGCAGCTGGGGTGACCAGGTGCCATGTGCACACACACTAAAGCAGAACAGGAGAGCATGCATTGAGCTTGCCACAGGGAAAGATTCTCACACAAGGTGCTAAGCCCAGCACAGGCTGTGTGGGCATTCTTTCTCGATAAGTGTTCCAGACCCAGGTCCATTCTTATGCAGCCAAGCGGGGACTGAAAGACTGTGAACATGGGACTGCCTTTTCTGACAATCATTAATCTAAAGCACAAATGAGGAAACTGAATGGCTGGGAAGTAATGTGATTTCATCAACAGCGAACCGGTCCTAAATGTCTGAGCCCCAACTTGTTCTCTCATCTCTCAGCTTCAAAAGCTACGTGTTCTCTATGACAACCTGGGAAATATGCTAGGCTCTGTCGATTTGTTTCACAGGTAGGATTTATATAGTCTTAATGTTCTCTATTAGAATTCCAGTGTGATGGTGTTTCTAATGTTCTTGAACCTTTTCCACCGATTGTATTTTAGGAAGATCCCCTTGTTCTTCAATGGAGGTTGTTTTTCAGATTTAATGTATTCTGATACATGTTAAACATGTGCACTGAGTTGTGAAACATTTTATGTGACATCATTCTCATGTATAAATGGAGTTTTGGAAGGATAAACAAGAAAATATTAATAATTGTTAATTCTGTAGAGTAGAACTAGATGACGGGAGTGCAAAGGAGAGTTTCTAAACATTCTGTTTTTATCCTGTTGGGGATTTGAAGCTTTTAAATGGATGTTCATTGATTTTATTTAAGAAAAAATTAATAAAGAAATTACCAACCTCTAAAAAAAATAGTGTCCAATCTTTTTAGCAAAAATGGGATAAAATAATTAATACATAACTTTAAAAGCTCTTATCCTGCCTCACCTAGCAGCTGTTAGTGACTGAAGAAAGCAGAAAGCTAAGAATAGAAACCCCCTAGCTTTAGAAGCCACCTGAAGTTAATTTAACCCTCCGACAATAATGACTTCTACAGATTCCCCAAATAAACAGCAGGCTCACAACAAAGCCGGGACCTGTGGAGGAGGGGGCGAGTTCTTTTCACTCACTCCCACATCCACTCTCCCCTCCCCTTTGCCTGTCACAGCCTGTGCTCCATCCAGGGCTTCAGTTAAGGCCTACAGGCGGGACACCTCCAGGGCAGAACGCAGCGTCTCACATACTTTCTCCCTCAGGTGGCAGATGCTTGAAGACATGGGGTTTCAGTAAGTCGATTCAATGCCCCACATGTCAGGATGTGTTCAAGAGAACATACCTTTTTACATCCTCACAGCTGTATGAGTCCAAAACCTGAATTACTCAGGATGCCCATCTGACAAGGTGAAAGAAAAGCAGAACTGCCATGGTCAAGTGTTCCTCAACTAGTCTAACTTAAATACTGCACTGGTTAAAAATACCCAAATACCCTATATTTAATCACCCTTAAACTATGCATATAAGAGAAAAGTAAGCACCATAAAATATCCATAAACCTAACTTAAATACTGCACTGGTTAAAAATACCCAAATACCCTATATTTAATCACCCTTAAACTCTGCATATAAGAGAAAAGTAAGCACCATAAAATATCCATAAACCAGAAAGACACTTGAAAACAGAAACGGTCACTTCAGTTAGTTTTCCTGGTCTATATTACTGAATCCCTTTCCTCAACAATACGTAGATCACTTTCTCAGGTGCTGGTAGCTTCTTCTATAAGATTACTCCTCTACACAATGTTGCTTAGAGAATCAAGAAAGTACATTGCAGTCGGGGTTGACAGGGTTCTCAGGACATTCCAGCTGGCCTGCTTCTCATCTCTCCAGGATTAGACAAGAAGAACCCTAAACTACCACTGATAGAAGGGGAAGACAAACTTTTTCCATAAAGGGCTTTTCCACTTGCTCAAAAAAGACATTAACAACCTTGCTTAGAAATGAAAAGCCTTCCCCATGCCAGCCAACCACACACACAAAAAGACAAAATGAAAAGCCTTGCACTGTGACCATGTTGCCGGGTAGTTCTCCAACAGTACACCTTTATACAAGTCTGGGCAGGACCCAGCCGTTTCCACTCCCTCTGAGAAGCCTGTAGTCTCATCCCAGGGGGGGTTCCCTGATCCAGGGGCCACAACCTTTATAATCAGGAGAACCCATCAGTCCTTCTGGGGCACGCTCTTGAAGGACACTGAGTCCTGAGAAGGCAGACACTGGTAAGGTTCCCTCCAGGGCTGTCCCCTCAATGGGAAAACAACCTGTCACAGCCTTTCTCCTCCTGGGGTGCCTTTGCAGTCCTAGCAGACTAATTAAAAAGTTTTTTTTGCCTTTCCTTATAATTTCTTTGCTTTATTATATCCATACCTTGGGGGTGGGGGAGGAGAGAAAAAGAGACAGAAGGGAGGCCCGGTATACACAAGAGAAACATCAAGACATGGGTGTCTGTGACTCGGAGCATAGGGTTGGTGAGTGTGGCTGGTGGGAGGTTCTGTTCCTTTTCTGCTAATACTAAGAAATAGGCCAGGGGCTGGCTGGTTAGTTCAGTTGGTTAGAATGTGGTTTTGATAACACCAATGTCTGGGGTTCAATCCCTGTTCTGGCCAGCTGCCCAGAAAAAAAAAAAAAAAAAAAAAAAAAAAAGAAAGAAGAAAGAAAAGAAATAGGCCAGACATTTTCTAGGGGAAATGACCTTTCTTTTCCTTGACTAAAATTATGTCTATTTTTTTTAAAACACAGAGTTTAACCACTGTGCTTTGGACCACAGAATGTGAGTTCCACAAGGGTGTGTCTTGTTGGCCCCTTATCAGCCTCACTTTCACAGTGCTTGCTAGGCACATACTCACTTAATAAATATTAGCTGAGTGAATGAATTATTTTAAAGTTTGTTTCTACTATATTGCAAATATCAAAATTACTTAATCATTGTATTATTGTACATTTCTATTACTTCCAGTTTGTCTAAGAGATTTTAAAATTTGAAATATATGATACAGGGTAAGAGGAAACATTTGAGTGAGTTACTACAAAAAATGTAAAGTGAGGAGACACCATGCTAGGGAGAGCTGGCTTATTCTCTAGATGCGGATTACCCTACGTTACTACCAACCTACATAAGAGCTCTGAACTGGGTTATTACCAGCCTCCAAAGGAGTGGGGGTTCCCCAGAGAGCACACACTTTCTACGTCAGCCAGGCAATGTTAAGAGACAGGAGCTGCAAGTCACACAGTTTTGAGATGGTCATGTGGGCTCCAGAAAGACAGGACCCAGAGATTCACTTAGAATAGTGGTTTTTAAACTGTTTGGCAAGCTGAGTGTCCTCAGAGGTAGTCAGGCCCTATGGGTATGGGTGGCCTCCAGCTTCTTTCCTCTTGAACTAGAGCAGCTTCAAGCTTTTATCTTTTTTTATAAGTTTAGTTTCCACTTAAGAATCCACTTTATAAAGAGATATGCATTTAAAAAGTGTCTAAAGCCACTATCTAAGAACACACTTCATCTAGGAAGGAAGGTAGTCTTAATCATCACCTGGTGATACAATGAAGGTGACCTTAATGGGGCGGGGGAACACTGCAAAGGGAAGGAGGGTGAGGGGGAGGAGAGGCTTCTGGGCCCGTGTCAGAGGTCTTTGCGTGGCAAAGGTGGTGACTGGGCAGGAAGTTATGTTGGGACCAGCAGCAAGTGTTTTTCTCTCCTTGGGGGATAAGTATGGGGATAAGGGCTCTGGAGTCCAGAGCCAGAAAGGGGCTAAGGAAGCAGGTAAAAGTTAATGGAGTCAGTCAGTGAACATTTCCTGGAGGCCTCCCGTGTGCCAGGCACCGATCCCGGCCGGCGCAGGAAGAAACCGGACAGACCAAAGTCTCTGTGCTCATCGAGCTTACATTCTGTTTGGAGGGATAGAGCCAATCAATCATTAGGCAAACAGAGTCTGCTGGGGGTGGATGGTGATACCTGTAATGGAGGGGGCAGCCCAGGCAAGGCGGAGGAGTCTGCGGTGGTCCACACGGTGTCTGGCGTGGACACGAGGCCTCGCTGAGGCAGCTGTGGCATGTGGGCAGAGGCCTGAGGGAGCTGAAGGAGGTCCTTGTGAAGAAGTGTCCCAGGCAGGGAAAAGCATGCAGGCCCAGGGACGGAAGCACGCCGAGTGTGCCCGGGGAGCAGAAAGAGGCTAACCGGGCTGGGGCAAACTGAGTGAGAGTCCTTGGAGGCTGATCCAGGGAGGCAGGGGCAGGCCAGACAGGCCTTGTGGGCACGCGGGCACAGAGGTGTTGTGCTCCCGCTGGGTTCTCACCTCAGAACCGACCACAGAAGCCTGAAGATCAGATAGGAGGTCACCGCAACACCGCGGGACTGTGGGTGCACTGTAAAGGTGGAGCTGAGGGGATGCGTTGGTGGACTGGCTGTGGGTGTGAGGCATGAAGACAATGCAAGGGCTTTCATTTGCCTGAGGAACTGGTGGAATGGAACTTCAGAAACCAGCCTATTTGAATTTTATTTCTTTTTATTTTTTTTCTCCCAATCTAATAACAATGTTCCAAAGCTATAAAATGGCTATAGAGAAAAATAGAAGCAGCAGCAGCTAGGGTATAGCAAACAAAATCATCAGCCCTAATCATGAAAGGTTGGCTAGAACTGCTCCCAAGGGTTAAAGCCGACTTACCATTCAAAAAAGTAATATCACAAACACAAATGCTTAGCAACCAGTCAAGCAGGATACTTGTAGGATAGCATCTGGCCAATAGAGCTGTCACCAATTCCACAAACAAAACAGAGTGATGCAGCTCCCTCATTTATTTTATACATAAGATGATCTTGTTATTTATTGTTAAAGGGATGGCTTCTATGGTTCTTAGTTGCCATCTTTCCTCTCTCTATTTCATATACCTGGCTTTTTAAATAAGCGATTTGGGTAGTCTGAGCTGTGAATGGACAGTGAGGCAGGAGAACCACCTCCTCCAGCACACTGCTGAATGGCCACCTCCAATCCTCTCCCTACAGGTCCCATATCCTGTTCTCCTCTTCCCTCCTCCTTGAATACCCTCCCTAGACATGTGCAACGTCCTTCTCCTCACCTTTTCCTTCCTGCTGCTCTGCCATAGCCTTCTCTTTGCTCCTGTGATACCGTAAAATATGTATCTGGTCTTCTCCTCTCTCTGGGCATACAACTCCTAAAATCCTTGGAATGTTCAATGTATTAAGTGTCTTTTGGTAAGCTAATGAATTGATGGTGTCTGGCAGCTCTCCTAGGTAGCTTCTGGATGGGGGCTGGTCTGGAAAGACCAAGGCACGATTAGAGGATTGGGACTTTCAGCCTCACCTCCCAAACTCCAGGGAGGGGAGAGGGCTGAATGTTAAGTTTACCACCAATGGCCAATGGTTTAATCAATCATGCCTATGTAATGAAGCCTCCATAAAAACCCAAAAGGCCTGGGTTCAGAGAACTTCCAGATAGCTGAACATGTGGAGGTTCCTGGAGGGTGGTGTACCTGGGGAGGGCATGGAAGCTCTGTGCCTCTTCCCCCATACCTCGTCCTATGCGTCTCTTTATCTGTATCCTTTGTAATATCCTTTATAATAAACTGATAAACTTAAGTGTTTCCCTGAGTTCTGTGAGTGGCTCTAGCAAAATTAACCAAACCTGAAAAGGGGGTTGTGGGAATCCTGACTTATAGCTAGTCAGTAAGAAGTTCCAGAGGCCTGGACTTGTGACTGGCATCTTCAGTGGGGCAGTCTTGGGGACTGAACCCTTAATTTGTGGGATCTAATGCTATCTCCAGGTAGACAGTGTCAGAACAGATTTGAATTACCAGCACCACACTCTCCCAAGTGAGCTAACTGGCCAGCCCTGAACCGATTTGAATTAGAGGATACCCAACTGTTGTCTGCTACAGAATTGACTGCTTGCTTGTTGGTGGGGAAAAATCCTCACACATTTGGTCACAGAAGTCTTCTGTATTGATGGTTGTTGAGTGAGAGTATAGGAAAAGCACCCTGGTTTGTTTATGCCTATATCCTCAATTCCTCATGTTTCCAGAGTGTCAGCTTTGGCTCTTCCCACTCAACTTGACTCTGTAGCTCAGCTACTACAGACACATTTATAGCACTCATGTCTCCTGCTAGAAACAAATTCCAGGAAAAGTCTTCATCTTTCTATCAGTGGCACCCGTCACAGCTTTAGGCACACAAGAGTCACAGTAAATGATGTCTGAATAAATGAATGCATGAACAACACTTGGTAACCAAACCTCCCTGGGCACCATCTTTAGAAAAACAACCAACTTTGGGATGTAATATCTTCCTTTCTTCATAGACAATACATAAAACATTGTTGAGTAGTGTCTTACTGCCTACAAAATAGGCAATTGTTGGCCATAATATGACTCCTTCAAAGATACAAACATAGAAACAAGACTGCTTATGAAGTAAAAGAATTTTTTTACTTTAAAATTTCTTCTGTTAAAATACAGATAAAGTTTTCTTTATATGAGTAGTTTAAAAAATTTAAGCAATAAAGATTCCTGTTAATCAAGTAGTAATAGATTTTTTTCTTGTTGCTACTCTTCTCCGTCTGGAAAATTTCTTTCTGATTCTTATTTTTCCTTCTGCTCCTGAGTTGAATTTTGTTTTAATAAGCTCTACTTCTCAAATTGAGGTACATGGTGGTAACATAATTTAGATTATTAAACTTACAAGACAGCCACATCTAATCTCTTGCAGGTGGGGAATAAGTAAATAGGGAATATCCACAAATTAGTCAACAACTTAAATTTATTTTCTTTTTTCTTTTATTTTCCTTTTTTTAATTGTTGACAATTTTCTAAATTTAATATAGTTTTAATGTTCCCATGTTTATGAGTTCCAAACACCTGATTTTTTAAAAGTCAGATTGAGTGGTATGACTTTACAGAAGGCTAACAGTACTTACTCTTCCTTCCTCTTTATGTTCTCTCTTGCCTGCTGGGCTCTGGTGAGAATAAACCATTGGAGATTTACTGGATCACACAGTGTTGGGATGTTAAAATGCCCGAGTTCATGCAAGCTTGGAGCATATCTGTCACTGACATGAAACATACATTAAAGGAAAAGTCATTGACCTCCTCCAATCCCCTGCCAGAGAAAATGTTTTATTAGTCTTCAAGTAACTGAACAGAAATCATCAAGAAGATCTACCTTCATAATAGAGCAACACTGACCTAAAGCTTTGCTGCCCCCCAAGACAAGCTTCATCAGGACGACTACATACTTCTGAGCCCTGTGACCGTCCATATCTGTAAAGTGGTGGTAGTAACCTACTTCTTGGTGAGGTTGTGAGAGCTAAGGAGAGAATGCATTTAAACACCCAGCATAATGCCTGGCAAATAGCACATGCAGGAAAAATGCTTGCTATTGATTTAACATTAGTTTAATCCTAGAAAGTTTTCCACAGCATTCACTTTGCCCAGTAAGTGGCAATATATTTAAAGGATGTTCTAGAGATTTGATCCTTCAATCCTCTCATGCTAGCTTTTCTAAATTGTAGAAGAGGGTTGCTAACACAAGTAATGACATTGTTTTCTTTAATTCCTAAGAATCACACACTGAATACAAAACAGTTTGATGTACTTACACATACAACCTACCTAAGAGAAGGAATAAAAGTAATCCTTCTGGGCCGAGCCCATGGCGCACTCAGGAGAGTGCAGCGCTGGGAGCGCAGCAGCGTTCCCACCGCGGGTTCGGATCCTATATAGGGATGACCGGCGCGCTCACAGCGCTCACTGGCTGAGCGCGGTGTGGCCGGTCTCAAAAAGGACAAAAAAAAAAAAAAGTAATCCTTCTGTTTTAGATATTTACCTGTTAAGCATCATTTGTAAGCCACGCAGACTTCGAGGGTGAAAAGGTATTCTACTTTCTAGCAGTCTATTATAGAACGTGTCAAGAAGAGAGTAATATTCTTCAAGTGTCAATACTGGCTGTAATTCTTCAATATAAACAACTTGTATGCCACCTAAAAGATAGCTTATTTGGTCTTCTAAAAGTATCAGCCTCCTCTGAAGGTCAAAATAACTTGGCAATCTTTCAAAAAGCTACAGTATTAAAAAAAAGGAAAGAAATATTTAGTTTTATTTTACTATAATAACTTGATTACAGAATTCAAATAAATGATATTAAGAAATTATAAATAGAAAAGTATTTTCCTAGAATGAAAGTTCAAGTAAGAGATAAGAAAAAGACTTAACATAATACTGAAAATATCAACATCAAACCAAACCACTGAAAATCTTAGGTATTTTTACATAGGAATGAAAGAGATTACAGAATAAAAGAAATATGTTCCTGCTGTGGACTGAATGTTCCCCCCAAACTCACTGAAACTTGACCTCCATTGTAACAGTGCTAACAGCGTAGGTTTTTTTTTTTTTTTTGTCCTTTTTGAGACCGGCCACACCGTGCTCAGCCAGTGAGCGCTGTGAGCGCACTGGTCATCCCTATATAGGATCCGAACCCGCGGTGGGAGCGCTGCTGCGCTCACCAGTGCCGCACTCTCCCGAGTGCACCACGGGCTCGGCCCCAATTATGGTATTTGAAAGATGGGGCCTTTAAGAGTTGATTAGATTATGAGGACTGTGCTCTCGTGAATAGACTGATTCATTCATGGAGTAATGGGCATGGTTGTAAGGGCTTTATAAAGAGGACAAGTGAGAAGGTTAGCTCTTTCTTGCTCGGGCCATTCTTGCCAGGTGATACCCTGTGTTGCTGTAGAGTCACTGCCAAAAAGAAGGCTCTCACCAGGCATGTTACCTAGACCTTGGACTTCCCAGCCTCCAAACTGTAAGAAATAAATTTCGTTTCTTGATAATTTACCCAGTCTTACATATTCTGTTACATGCAATGGATAGGGACTAATGCAGTTCCAATACTAATATTTGAAAATTCAGGTAAGAATCTTAAGTTAGTTTAGAATGACTAAATGGTAAAGAAGGTTGTTAGAAATAAAGTACATGTATTTCAACTCCAAGTCTGTTCCTTCAAAATCTACTTCAAATCAACTAAATTCATTTAAATGCAATAAATATTATTGAGCATCTACCATGTAATTAAGAACTGAACTGGGCACCTGAAGTGCACAGATTATAAGAGTGTCCCTGTTGGGCCAGCCCGGTGGCGCACTGCGCTAGTGCGCCGCTTGGGAAGTGCGGAGGCGCTCCCGCCGAGGGTTCGGATCCCACATGCAGACCGGTTCCCGCTCGCTGGCTGAGCGAGGCGCGGGGGCAACACCGAGGGTTGCGATCCCGTTGCCGGTCCCGGTCCGGTGCGGGGGCGACACTGAGGGTTGCGATCCGTTGCCGGACACAGAAAAAGACAAAAAAAAAAAAAGAGTGTCCCTGTTTGTCAGGGGCTCACAGTTAGGGTACAAGGAAGCAAAACACAAATCTGAATTCAGCATACTGAGTGCCACATCAGCGTGAATGGACACCAAGAGAAGGTTCAGCAAAGGCTTCTAAGGTTGTCTAATTTGACCAATCTTAAAAGGTAAATAGGATTTAGAAAAGGAAGATGAAAAAGGAGCACATCCAAACAGAGAAGTATACAAAGGAACAGCACTTTCTACAACAAGGAGCTTGGTATGGCTGGATTGTGCCTTGTTTATGAGTGAGTGGAAAGAAAAGAGGCCAGAGGGTTAGGCAGTGGTAGGTCAGGGAAGGACCATTAAGGACTTAAAAGAATTTCTGTCAAAAGCTGGAGTCTGGGCCGGCCCGGTGGCGCACTGGATAGTGCGCCGCTTGGGAAGCGTGGCGGCGCTCCCGCCCGAGGGTTCGGATCCCACATACAGACCGGTTCCTGCTCACTGGCTGAGCGAGGCGCGGGAGCAACACCGAGGGTTGCCATCCCGTTGCCGGTCCCCGGTCCGGTACGGGGGCAACACTGAGGGTTGCGATCCGTTGCCGGACACGGAAAAAAGACAAAAAGACAAAAAAAAAAAAAAAAAAAAACTGGGGT